TGTTTATTTTTGGGGGTTCCTTTGTTTATCCTTGGGGGGTTTCCCTGTATTTATTTTTGGGGGTTCTCTGTTTATCCATCACAGGCTTCCCTGTGTTTATTTTTGGGAGGGGGGGGTCCATGTGTTTATCCTTGGTGGGGGGGTGTCTGTTTCTTTTTGGCAGTTCCCTTTGTTTATTTTTGGGGCATTCCCTATGTTTATCCATGGGAGGGGTCTCTGTTTATTTTTGTGGGTTCCCTGTGATTATCCATGGAAAGTGTCTGTGGTTATTTTTGGGGTTCCCTTTGTTTATCCATGGGGGGATTCCTTTGTTTCTCCCTGGGGAGGTTCCCTGTGTTTATTTTTGTGTGTGTGTGGGGGGGGTCCCCTGTGTTTATTTTTGTGGTTCCCTGTGTTTGTCCATGGGAGCGGGGTCTGTGTTTATCCATTGGGGGGATGTCTGTGTTTATTTTTTGGGGGTTTAATGTGTTTATCCATGGCAAGGGGTCTGTGTTTATTTTTGGGGGTTCCCTGTAACTATCCATGGATAGTGTCTGTGTTTATTTTTGGGAGAGTTCCCTGTGGTTATTTTTGGGGTTCCCTGTGTTTATCCATGGGGGGATTCCTTTCGTGGTTATTTTTGGGGTTCCCTGTGTTCATTCATTGGGGTATTCCTTTCTTTATCCCTGGGGGGGTTCCCTGTGTTTATTTTTGGGGGTTCCCTGTGTTTATTTTTGGGGGTTCCCTGTGTTTATCCACGCAGGGGATTCCCTGTGTTTATGCATGCTGGGGGTCCCTGTATTTATTTTTGGGGTTCTCTATGTTTATTTTTGGGGTTTCTCTGTGTTTATCCATGGCGTATCGCCATTTTCATTTTGGGGGTTCCCCTTTTTACCTTATGGGGCTGCTATTTTTGCCTATGGGGCTGGCTGAATTTACCTGTGGTAGCTCCACATGTTTTTAAATATTTACAATATTTATGTTATTTACAATATTTGGGATCCCTGTGTTTACTCATGGGGTTCCCTATATTTTCCTACAGCGACACAGCCACCCCTCTATTCCAACTCCAGGGTAGTTAAACTTATATTTGCACTCAAACATAGATTTACTTTTGGGTTTTCTGTGCTACAAGGAGGCTCCTGTTTTTCAGAAGTGTCTGTGTAAGGTGCTGCTGTGTGCTGAGCTCCTTCCTGTGTTTCCTAAGGGAGATGAGAAGAAAGCAGGAAATGGAAGGAAGCTTTGGTTTCCCTGTGGTCCCCAGGGCTGTGTTATCTGTGTTTTGGGAGTGTTTTTATCAGCCACCTCCTTGGAATGCAGACATTGTCACCGTGGGTTAACATAAACACACAGCCACAGGAAGGACAGGAGCTGCTCCTCAGGAATTGATGGCTTTGTCACCAAATTTCACATTTTCTTCCCTTTGAAGCATCCCCTCTTTTCAGCCTCTGAAAGTTGGGGGAAGTGAGATTTTTTTTTCCCCCCTAATCCAAGTTGTTTTTTTTTTCCTTGTTTTCCTTTCCATGAGGCTCAGCTTGCAGAGAATCCAGCTGCCTCTTCCAGAAATGTGATTTATACATGGAAGTTGCTCTCCCTGGGCTGTCTGCCGTGTTTCTTTGTGCTGCTCACAGTAAATATCAAACATTCTCCCTCTTTGATTGCAGCATGAAAGGCAAATCTCCACATTTAGGAGCTTGTCATGTCTCCTGTTCTCTGTGATGCTCGTGAGCCTGTCACTGGGAAATCTGGGATCAAAGGAGCTCTTTAGCTGCTTCCAGCACTGTTGGAAACATCTGTCTAAACAAATTGGAGTTTTTCTCCCCTGGTTTTGACAGAACTTCAGTGCTGGCAAGGAGAAAAACTATTTTTAAATTCATTTATCTAATCGTGGCACTGATGCTGCCTTTGCTGCTTTTATCCTGCGTTCCAGTTTTTGGGGATTTTTTTCACCCTTTTGTGTTTCTCTGTTGGTTGGGGTTCCCCTCCTGCCCTGTATCTCTGTTCCCCTAAAGATTTTGGTTTTCCTTTGCACGTGCAGAGATCAATCCAGAGTATTCACAGGAGCTGTTCTGCTCCAGTGTCCACCTGCCAGAACTTCAGTGAGGGAAGTGAAGAGAAATTCCCAGTTTGAAATCACAGGGAGTGATGCCTTTTCCCAGCCTGGAAATGAAATGAGGGAAGTGAAGAGAAATTCCCAGTTTGGAATCACAGGGGGTGATGCCTTTTCCCAGCCTGGAAATGAAACTCGAGATAATTTTAGTAATGAGGTGATGTAAGAGCAGATTTTTATTTGAAACCTTTCAGGGGCTTTTGGGAACATCTTCTTGCATCACCTCTTAATAAAATGATCTTGAGTTTCATTTCCAGGTTGGAAAGAGAATATCCACAGGCAGGACAGAACAGTATCCACAAGAGGATATCCACAGGCAGGATAAAACACTAAATCTTTTTTTTTGGGTTTTGAATTCAGCCAATCAAACAGAGATCTGCAGATCTTTATTTGAAGGCATTCAGGGACTTTTGTGAACATCTTATTTCACCTTACTAAAATGATCTTGAGTTTCATTTCCAGGTTGGGGAAAAGGCAAGAGGAGAATATCCACAGGCAGGATGAAACATTGAATATTCCTTTTGGATTTTGAATTCAGCCAGCCAAGCAGAGATCTGCAGATCTTTATTTGAAGGCCTTCAGGGGTTTTTGTGGTCATCTTTATTATATCACCTCTTAATAAATGATCTTGAGTTTCATTTGCAGGTTGGGAAAAAGGCAACAGGAAAATATCTACAGGCAGGACAAAACACTAAATCTTTTTTTATTATTATTTTGAATTCAGGTAGTCAAACAGAGATCTACAGATCTTTATTTGAAGACCTTCAGGAACTCTTGTGAACATCTTATATCACCTCCTTACTAAAATTATCTTGAGTTTCATTTCCAGCTTGGGAAAAAGGTAGTAAGAAAATATCCACAGGCAGGACAAAACATGGAATATTCCTTTTGGATTTTGTATTCAGCCTTGAATTCAACTAGTCAAACAAAGATCTGCAGATCTTTATTTGAAGGCCTTCAGGGGTTTTTGTGGACATCTTTTTTATATCACCTCCTTACTAAAATTACCTCTAGTTTCATTTCCAGCTTGGGAAAAAGGTAGTAAGAAAATATCCACAGGCAGGACAAAACACTGAATTCCTTTTGGGTTTTGAGCTCAGCCTTGAATTTGTTCGGTCAGACAAAGATTTGCCGTACAATGGGGAAGACAAAGCCCCACAATATACGTTTATAATTTATTGTAAATGATTTTTATTACCCAGGGATTTCACTCTCCTGGGATGGCTGGGATGTCCTTTCCTCCCCAGCACACAGAGAGGAGGCAGCAGAGCCTGGGAGGGCTGTGGCTGCTTGACGTTCCCCACCTCACACAGCCCCCTAAATATCAGCTAGCCCAGAGGTCTGAGGCTGTGAGGGGAGGAATATCAGGAGATGGCAAAGATTTCCCAAAGAGGCTCTTATCCCAAAATACGTTGGTTCAGCTCTCTTTATTCTGTGGTGTCCATGTGGAGAGTGAGGCAAAAGAGCACGAACAGGGAATGTCAGGGGTCTGTACAGACTTTGGGCAGGGTGGGCTTCCCTGGCTCTCCACGAGCCCGTTGGGGCAGGAAGGAGGGTCCAGGGTTATCTGATCAGAGTCACCGGGTCCCGGGGAAGGGGGCACAGAGTGCCCGTGAGCTCACTGTAACACCTGCTGACTGAGGCTTTGTGCATCTCGTTGCAGCAGCTCTGTGCCAGAGCCATGGCCACGGACTGGCTGGGCAGCATCGTGTCCATTAACTGTGGAGAGAGCCTGGGGGTGTACCAGGGCAGAGTGTCAGCTGTGGATCAGGTCAGCCAGACCATCTCCCTCACACGGCCCTTCCACAACGGCGTCAAGTGCCTCGTGCCAGAGGTCACCTTCAGGTTAGTGCCTGCCTCGCCCCACTGCCTCTGCCTGGCGAGAAGATCTGCTGAGGAGGGCAGGAGCCTCCCCTGAAATGGGAAATGTCAACCCTCTCCCTCTGAGTTGTTGTTATTTCGGAATTACGGGGCTCTCAGGCAAAGATAAGATGTAAGCCATCTGTCCAACCTTAAAAACTGTCTACGAATCCATTTGTAGAGACTTATATATATCTTATATATATATATATNAGAGGAGGCAGCAGAGCCTGGGAGGGCTGTGGCTGCTTGACGTTCCCCACCTCACACAGCCCCCTAAATATCAGCTAGCCCAGAGGTCTGAGGCTGTGAGGGGAGGAATATCAGGAGATGGCAAAGATTTCCCAAAGAGGCTCTTATCCCAAAATACGTTGGTTCAGCTCTCTTTATTCTGTGGTGTCCATGTGGAGAGTGAGGCAAAAGAGCACGAACAGGAAATGTCAGGGGTCTGTACAGACTTTGGGCAGGGTGGGCTTCCCTGGCTCTCCACGAGCCCGTTGGGGCAGGAAGGAGGGTCCAGGGTTATCTGATCAGAGTCACCGGGTCCCGGGGAAGGGGGCACAGAGTGCCCATGAGCTCACTGTAACACCTGCTGACTGAGGCTTTGTGCATCTCGTTGCAGCAGCTCTGTGCCAGAGCCATGGCCACGGACTGGCTGGGCAGCATCGTGTCCATTAACTGTGGAGAGAGCCTGGGGGTGTACCAGGGCAGAGTGTCAGCTGTGGATCAGGTCAGCCAGACCATCTCCCTCACACGGCCCTTCCACAACGGCGTCAAGTGCCTCGTGCCAGAGGTCACCTTCAGGTTAGTGCCTGCCTCGCCCCACTGCCTCTGCCTGGCGAGAAGATCTGCTGAGGAGGGCAGGAGCCTCCCCTGAAATGGGAAATGTCAACCCTCTCCCTCTGAGTTGTTGTTATTTCGGAATTACGGGGCTCTCAGGCAAAGATAAGATGTAAGCCATCTGTCCAACCTTAAAAACTGTCTACGAATCCATTTGTAGAGACTTATATATATCTTATATATATATATATATCTTATATATAAATACATACTATATAAACTTGGTATAGAAATACTATATAAACCTTCTATCCAACCTTAAAAATTCTCTACAAATCCATTTGTAGAGAGTTATATACAAATACATACTATATAAAATTGGTATAGAAATACATACTATATAAAATCGGTATAGAAATACATACTATATAAAACTGATATATAAATACATACTATATAAAATCGATATATAAATACATACTATATAAAATCGATATATAAATACATACCTTATAAAATTGGTATATAAATACATACCTTATAAAATTGGTATATAAATACATACCTTATAAAATTGTTATATAAATACATACTATATAAAATTGATATATAAATACATACTATATAAAATTGATATAGAAATACATACCATATAAAATTGGTATAGAAATACGTACTATATAAAACAATATTAATATATAAATACATACTGTATAAAATTGGTATATAAATACATACTATATAAATTTTATATCTAAATACATATTGTATAAAATATGAATATATAAATACATACTATATAAAATTGGTATAGAAATACATACTATATAAAATTGGTATAGAAATACATACTATATAAAATTGGTATAGAAATACATACTATATAAATTTTATATCTAAATACATATTGTATAAAATATGAATATATAAATACATACTATATAAAATTGGTGTATAAATACATCCTATATAAATTTGATATATAAATACACACTATATAAAACAATGTTGATATCTAAATAGATACTATATAAAATAATACCGGTATATCAATACATACTATATAAAATTGGTATATATATATACACACTATCTAAAATTGGTATATAAATATATACTATGTAAAATTGGTATGGAAACACATCCTGTTTAAAATTGGTATATAAACACATGCTATGTAAAATGGATATATGAATACACACTATATAAAATTGGTGAATGCATCCAGTGCAACCCTTGTGTCAGCCTCACACACTCTGCATTGCATAGATTTTTACATTTGATTGAAAATTTTCATTTATAAAAGTGAAAGAATAATATTATTTATGTAGAATTTTAGTTATACTCTTTATCTATATATTATATAAAATATAAATTAAAAATATTAAGTTATGTAATATGTTAATC